ATAATTAATCAGTCTTTTTATCTATAAATACAAGGTGACTGTAAAGTCAGGATTGATGAAAATACTACTTAATGCTGCATTATACCTATCCAGACATTGCAATTTTGTACATCATTGCATTGAACACATCATGTATTACTAATAAGGAAACACACATTGAACATACATGTAATGAAAATAAGAGATAGCACGTTGAACACAATACTTAGTGTAATATAATATTAATAAAAGTATTTATTATGTATATTTGCCCACGTTCCCAGAATCTAAGCTCACTATTATGTATACATTTTAATATCTCTAAAATTTATTTTTATTTAAAAAATGTGTAAANGCGTGGATAATAAAAAAATAAACCTCTTCGCACGCACCTACCTACAATAATAAATCAATACAATAATAATAACACATCAATCTTCACTTTACAATATTTTATCAACACAGCAATCGACGTTGCTACTTTCACAAGTAGCAAGTTTTGCAAACTTTACCACTAACTTATTCATTTAGTTTCGAATCCACTTTACTGATCCTACCAGACCACAATGTTATTACACTCCTCGACTACACAGCAATACCATTCGACTTCCTCTACTGTATCATTTATTATCCAATACATTTAAATATAAAAGAACTAATTCAATAAAATTTGTTCAATGTTTAATATATTCTTCCCAATTCCATATACAAGTAGTTAACTTAAACTTTGATTTTATTTCCTCTCCTCCTCTTCCTCCTCCAAATATTAACGAGAACAAGATATTTTTATTACTCTTTCTATACATATATATATATTTAATATAAAGAAACTTTGTTTCTAATAAATAAATGCATCAACACAAAGTATTTGTGTCAACATCCGAATCTATATTATATCAACTAAATGCATTTTGTTATATCAATATTTTATATTAATTACTTACGAATATTTACGTATATACTTTTTAGAAAAATTGTTTATTAAAAAGTCCAAGTTAGTTACAATCGCTGCCCCTTCTCAGTGGTTTCTATAAGGTAAATAAATACTGTTCTTTCTTATTAAACGTAGAGTAAATTTTCTTTATTATTGATTATATGGGATTTAAATTCTTGTGTGTGTTTTTATTTATATTATGACACTTATGAGGAATAACAAATATCTTCTTTAATTAATAAAACGGCTATTAGTGGTAATACATGGAGAAACAATGCCACTAGAGTGCCTTTAAACTAATATACGTATATCTTCCAAAAAAGTCACGCAAAGGCTTATTGTGATTCTTTTTTGTAAACTGTACGGAGATATTAGGGTGTGTGGATACATGGAGGTGCACATACATGATGGGCAGGCACTTAACGTACTAAACGGACAGGAGACATGATTGTCTGATCCTGAAAGAAGCACGAACGTCTTTGTACATTTTCCAAAGACATGTAGAAGCCTTACCATAGGAATATCTCTTCTCGTTTCATTGGCATGCACTAACAGAGGCGAATTTACATGCATGGCTACGCGTCTTACCATTAGCACTCCACCATTGTCGGTTTCGTTTGCAGTGATGTGACAAAAGCATTCACTGCTACGAACTGGCAGCAGATCATCTATATAACTATGAATCCAGTTTCAGAACGGACGACCACATTGTTAGAGTTTGGAGGACCGCAGGTGAGAGATTCAATCCCTCCTTTAGTGTTGAGTGGCACACTGGTCTGGGGAGTCATCTCATACGACAGTCGGTTACCCCTGATAGTGATAATTTATGAGGTACATGCTCACGTGTGGTGTTTTTTTCTATGGCAGGTCTGCAAACTTGCAACCAGTCGTTTTCCAGAAAGATAATAGTCTGACGCACACACTAGGGTTTCCTAGGAATGTCTCCATCGCGTTGTCAGACATCCTTGGTCTGTTCGATTCCAGATTTGTCGCCTATCGAGCATTTGAGAGACCAGATGGGATGTAGCTTCGACCATTCACGAGTGTGAGGGATCCGGAAGACAGTTAACAATATCCGTGAGCAAATCTCTCGCAGGATAGCTTATGATAGTTCTATGCTTCCATGCCGTGTCGTCACATGTATTTCGAGGAGATAAGAGGACGTTCTAAAAGATTCTGAAGGTTCCTTTAAATTATACTGTTGTTGCAGAGGAAATCGTCCCTTTGCTATGATATTGTAAATATATACTTTCATCGTCATTAAGTTCGCAATGATAAAGTTTTATTTGATTTAACTATTTTTTCTTAGTGAATAAGCGTATTTTACATGAAAACAATTAAAAAATGAAATATTTTAATGCACTTCTAATAAGAATTTTTTTTCTTTAAATTATACAATTATTTTGTAAGTATTAAAATTTCTTAGCTGAATGAATAGAAAAGTGAATAAAGTGAAGAATATTAAACTAAAAACGTTAAATTGCCATAGTTAAAATTTGAATTTCATTCAAAACTCCTTAAATTACATCAAGCCAACATAAGAAGTATAAACGACTGTCATTTTATTTCGCTATATTAAAATAGAATATTCTATAAAGTGTAGCATACATCTTGATATTCCGTATACCTACCTCTAATATGACATGCCGTATTAATTAAATTATATCTTTAAAATATCTTATTAATTCATTCTATTTTGTGCATCTAATTTGAACTATAAATTTATTCTATCATTGACACGAAATTCATATTGAAATTTTAAGAACATTCCAAATTCACGAAGTGTTCATAATAAATAATTAAAGCATATTCTGAAAATATGAGGAATAATTTAATAAATTAAAAGTTAATATAAGAAATAGGCTATGCTCAGCTTATTCTTCTGCATAGAGTAATAATAAGTTTTTAAAATTTTGAGAATAAAATGAGAGTAATTGTTGAAATTATAGCGTGGATAATAAAAAAATAAACCTCTTCGCACGCACCTACCTACAATAATAATAACACATCAATCTTCACTTTACAATATTTTATCAACACAGCAATCGACGTTGCTACTTTCACAAGTAGCAAGTTTTGCAAACTTTACCACTAACTTATTCATTTAGTTTCGAATCCACTTTACTGATCCTACCAGACCACAATGTTATTACACTCCTCGACTACACAGCAATACCATTCGACTTCCTCTACTGTATCATTTATTATCCAATACATTTAAATATAAAAGAACTAATTCAATAAAATTTGTTCAATGTTTAATATATTCTTCCCAATTCCATATACAAGTAGTTAACTTAAACTTTGATTTTATTTCCTCTCCTCCTCTTCCTCCTCCAAATATTAACGAGAACAAGATATTTTTATTACTCTTTCTATACATATATATATATTTAATATAAAGAAACTTTGTTTCTAATAAATAAATGCATCAACACAAAGTATTTGTGTCAACATCCGAATCTATACGTATTTTATTTTAATATTTTTACATTTTGATGTAGTAAATGTAGCATTTTTTTAAAATCATCTGAAGGAGTAAATGTATAAAACAATGGTAGAAATTTTATATTATGCGGGAAAATTTTATTTCCTGGGTATAACAAAACATGTTGATTTGTGTCATATTTTGATATTGTCACGAAGCAATACACGATATAGTTTAGGGAAGTAAAGATATGGTATCTGAGGAATGTGTCAATAATACTTGCAACATACTTCTTCCTTGCAAGTTACACACCTCTAGCTTGCCATTATGGTATCCTAGCAACGCTTTTCTAAATCCACTCTTTCTCTCCTTCACGGTCCACCACCAAACAATTTCTGTTGCTTAAATGTTGAAAATATTGCTTTCACTCTTTTTATATTTCTTGCAGGATATGAGTTGTCGCATCCACTCGAAAATAACCTGGATGAAAGACCAGATGTAAATATAGCAAAGTGTTTCTGGAGTAAGAAGAAGAAGAAGAAGACGAGGAAAAAATCTTTTAAATATATTAAGATACAACAATATAAAATATATATATATATATATATACAAAATCTTCTTTAACGTAAGAAAAAATTATTTTATAATTATATTATGCTTTTTAAAAAATCCAGTTAAAGTAATTGCAACTTACAATGAAACAAAAAATGTTTGTTAATTGTAGCTTCTAATTTTGAATTAATTTTTTGTTGAAGATCTTTTCTTTGAAATTTCCGAATATTAAAGGTTTTTTAAGAAGAATTAATTTATTTTTTAAGAATTAAGTTTTTCAGTTTTCTACATCTACAGCTACGTTTAATAACAACGAGGTAATACAAGAAATAATTTCTATATTATTAGGCTGCAAGTTTCAAATTGTAGCCCAATAATTTTCATTAATCTCATTAATTCCCTATAAATTCCCACTGTCTGTCTGTCTGTCCTTCCATAATCTTGAGAATGGAATTAGTTAGATTAAAACTGACGTTGTGTGTGGAAAGAGGGGAGGAGGCTCCGGTTAAGTGTATAAAAACTTCCAGTATAGACGTTATTTTAATTCAAAAATTTTCCCCAGAACGAAGTTACATATGATTGTTGTTATGAGGAAAAGTATGATGTACAGGGGCAAGACATTACTGAAATCGAGAGCATATATTTTAAATTAAATAAATTAAAAATATTATTTAAAAAAACTATAAATTAATAAATTAAATAATTAAATGGATTTTATCACGTGGTATTTCAACGAGTGGGAAGATGCTACTTACAAAGTAACGATGCTGTATAGATGATAAAATTTAATAGTTTTACTTAATAAATAAATAAATAAATAAATGTAAATATTGAAAGTAAAAATTTTAATATATTTCTATTTTTTTTTTTTAAAAAAAAGAATTATTCTTTTAATTTTTAAATTTACAAAATAAACTATTAAAGTTGATTAAACTTTCAACTTTACATTCCATTGTTTCAATATAATTTAATCAAATTCTCTTTGCAATTTTAGAAAATTGTGATGTGAGAAGAAAGAAATGTTATTTTCGAGATTTCCAGATAAATAATTTAAGTTAAAAAAAATTTAAAAATTCAATTTTATTTACTTAAAATTTCAATATCGATCAAGAATTCAAAGTTAAAAGTCTATTGTAGCTCTTGAAAATAAACTAAATTATACATTAAAAAAAAATAGAATTTGAAAGGTGATTGTCGTAAAAAACCAATTTTGAGCTTAAAATTGAGAAAAATTTCTTGTAAAAAATTTATAAACGTCTAAAAATATCTAATACAGTAGAGCGTCGTTTATCCGAATTAATTGGGGACTCGGGTTGTTCGGATAACCGATTATGTACGAAAAAATATATTAACCTATCCCGTGTTGAAATTTTTTTCCGTTGCGTGTCGCTTCGCGTTGAATTTTCGTCGATGTTAAGCCTAACGTAAACTTTTTAAAATAATAATCGTGGCTATTGTATCGTTAAAAATGATTTCTTTATGTTTTACAAACGAAATATATACATTGAAAAATGTAAAAACAAATAAAAATTATACTTTAAGCCGACCGGAATTCTTTCGGATAACCGACTTTCGGATAAACGACGCTCTACTGTACTTATATACAGTGAAATTTACTAATCGAACTTTCTTCTTAGAAGGAACTTGTAGTAAGTTAAGATACTATTATATTAATCATTCCAATTGCTTAAATGTCAAATCCAAAGAAAAATTTTTACGAGTAATAAAAGATATTATTAAGTCAGAGATATAATTTTTTTTAATATATTTTTCTTTAATTTTTTTTTTGTCATAACTTGTTAACTTTGCTTCACAGAACAAGAACAACTTTGATGATGGATGGAGGGAGGGTTTTGTTGAATGCTTGGATCGAGTTATATCATGTATGGTCACACAAACCAACCAGTCAGAAAACATCTGTTTCTTTTTCTATATTTGTCTCTCACACTGCGATTATGGCTAAAGTAATCGATATAGATCAATGTAAGTGACATTATGGTAAAGATAGGTAAAATTAGAAAAGAAAAATAAATATATCAGTTTTTATTTTTTTAAAGACGTGGTAATTAATCGTAGTAATTATTATGGAAAGGAGTAAATCGAGTAAATATTTTATTATAGATTTTTCTTTCCTTGATAATATTAGCACAAGTTAAGGTTATGGACAACCTTTAATCAGAAAGAAGAGCAGCTGCTTAATTAAACCAATGCTACTGCATCTAACTTGGTAATTGGAGAACTTGCTGAACAGGTTCTAAGTTTATTAATTTAGTTATAACTAAATAATTGACTGTTTTAATCGCTTTAATAATTACCATTAACTTTGAAGTTCGAAATTTTCATTAAACTTAAAACATTTATGCGAGTTTTATTTTAAAAAGTAAGGATTAAGTGTGTTTAATTGATTTTATATTTTAAATATTTTTTAAAACTGAATTAATTATTTAGTTTTTTTTTAAATTTAAAATATATGCTCTCGATCTTAAATTAGTCGTTTTGTCCCTGTAAATCATACTTTTCCTGTTAACAATTGAATATGCCGGTCATATATCTAACACCATTTTCGGGATTAAAGAAGAACACACAGACATACAGACGGACGACAGTAGAAATTTACAGATCTATAATTTTTTTTAATTGCAGTTCAATAAAATTATATAAAGCTGAAGATTTTTAAAATAAAATTAAAACTGATTTTTATATAATTATTTCTTAAATGTAAATTTAATCTATGATAATTTATAAGTTTTGCAACTGAAAATTACGAGGGAAAAATTAATAAAATTTAATATTTTATATTGTTATTCTTACCCTTTCTTCAATGATGTATATTTTCAAATTTTATATATATATTTTTTTATTTTTACGAAAGGAGAAAAAGTAAAATATTTAAATTACCAAGAGCTAACACTTTGTACAATTGTGCTGATATAATAACAATCCTCATATCTGTCAATTACAGAGAAAAAAAAGGGAGGAAGAAGATAAGTTTCATTAAAGCAATTCATAAGAACGAAAGAGAGTTGTTTAGTGATTCCAAAGCATTAAGCTAATTACTTTGATACCCAAGCTTTAGTTTCCAGTTTTATATCCCGTTGATTGTGACAAAGAAAGACTGTTCTTAACAGAACAAAGAAGACAACTTTCAACAATTCGCACGTGACGAAGTGTGAAGAGTACAACGGCAGATGGTGAAAGTGGTCAAAGAAGGTCACTCCGATAAGTGCTCTGCCATCTGGAGTGTCGAAGTAGTTTGTTCAAATGACAAACGTTAAGTTTACTGCTACTACAGAGACAAAACGGTTATCTTAATAAAGCTCGTAGACGAAATTTGTAGAGCCGTGTATTGTAGTACGATTTATACTTACTCCTGTTAATGGCCAGGCTTCTTCTTAATTAACAAATTTTCTTTTTCGCTGCCGCCGTAACAGCAAAAGTAAGATTAAGTACTTAGTGTTATTTTTTTTAAGGATTTTTCTTAATATTCGAGTCGTTTACATAATGAGTCTCTCCATCATTAAAATGTTACAGTGTTCGAAGGAGGCTGTACTTAAATGTAGTTTAAAATAATACATAACGCTCTCCAAAATCAATTCTTCGTCTTCTTCTTCTTCTTCATCTTCGCCCGTAATCCAGTGGATCCTGAGTTGGGTCGTGGATCAAAGACCGCCATTTCTTTTTATCTGTTCATCACTCTCTGAAAATACTACTATTACATTATCAGTCCTTTTTCTTAGGTCTTCTGCGATTTTGTCCTTCCACCTCTTTTAGGATCTTTTCTTAGGTCTTCTCCTCTCCATCTTATTTTCCGATACCAATTTTGATACTCTATTTCTTCCATTCTCAAGCCATTTTAGCCAAATTTCCATTGTCATCCGTCTGTTTCCTGTCCTTCCTCAATTAAGAGAACTGTATTAGATAGATGAAAGTCGAGACCATATATGGAAAGCTTGGTATAGACCGAAAGTTGCGTGATATCACCCAGAACAAAGCTATATAGATGACTGGCATGGCTATTGTTATCAGGAAAAGAATGATTTACAGGGACAAAACACTATTAAAATCGAGAGCATATATTTTAAAATTAAAAATACGATTAAAAAATTGTAGCCGGCATTGTACATGAATTAGTGCAGCAATCTTTACAAATTTAAAAAAAGTTTAAGCAAGTAAACTGATAATATTCTTGTCGTCTCTACAAGAGCATAAAATTAACCTCTTTGCTCTTAGTATCTTATGCATAACTTAATAATCGATGTTTGATAATAAAGAGTTTAAAACTTATTTAGTAATTTTTCCCAAGTTTGATGAATAACAGGATCACTTAAACCTCTTAATCTTAAGGTAGCATCTAGAAATATATTACTTATGTTTCGTGAAGAGTGGTACTTTGTCTTTTGTCATGGATAAGAGATCATTGAATACTCTCTCAAAGCGAATGAATGAATTTTATTTACTCTTAAATCATATTGCTCAACTATCTTTCCAAAATGATTATTTTGTAGTGCTAGAATAAATTAAAATGAAAAGTAAGAATTTATTACTTTTCTATATTTTTCTAGATTTAAACTAAAGTTTAAGCAATTTAATCTTTCAAAATTTTAACGAAAATTATAACATATTTTCTAAAAAAAAAAGTAAGGAAAAACAACTCTTGAAATTAATTTTAAAGTATAATTTTTTATAGAATTTTTAAATTAAAAAAAATGTCTTATTTTGATTACAATTTTAATTAAATTTTTTAAAAATATTTTTGATTATTAATTTTAAAAAAAAAATTCAGTTTTTTAAAGATTCTTCTTGGAGATTATGTATGTGTGTTCGGTTCGGTATGCAAATTTCATTTAATATAACCATTCCTTCTTACTTAGATTTTTAAATAATTAAAAAAATATCGTCAATATATTTTTTCCATGAATGATTTTTTTTAAAAAAACATGTTATTTGAATAGAAAAACAGAAAAGAAAACAAACTTTCGTAAATTAAATGGATTAAGGGCAGCTTTAGTGTACTGTTAAAGGTAAAAATTAATTAACGACTCAATACTGATGCTTTGATTAAATTCGTCAACTGTGATCGTTACTTCAGTTAACAACCTTTTTTATGATTTAATGTGATTCATGTGTAACATAACAAGGCACTATCCTTCGTATTGATCATCACACCAGTATAAAAACAATATACATATTGTTGTATGCATCACGTTTTTTCTATGTCATAATGCAAAAAGTTTCCCTGTATTGAATGGTGTTGATGATAATCTACTTACATTTACTTCTATTATATGATTGTTTTGCACTAAAAAAAACAAGTTCATATAGTGGTAAATTAAGTACTTAGTAACTACAGCTGTGTTAATTGAAATATAGTAACAATACTATGCTATTTAGTTACATTAAAAGCTATTAATATGATAATAGCATCGTCGCTTTTAGAATTGTTAACTGTTGCATATACAGTACACTTATATATTATAAGCCAAGCATTGTCACCATTAAATTATTGTTAACTTTATTAAGTTAATTTGCTTTGTTTTGAGTATTTTAATACTGTATAAAAGTCAGGATAGTAAATCTAATACATTTACTAAAAAATAATTTTCTAGCAACTTTATTTCATAACAATAGTGTACAATTTGACGTCATTTCTATATTTTTTTGTAACGTTAAGTGTAAAATGACGTGAAATTGACGTAACAGTACGTATTATTCTCATTTTTGCTGTAGATATTGAGCGTTATTATAGCAATAAAATCAATTTTATTGAAATAATATTAAATTTAAATTTATTAAACTGTGTTTTTTTTCGTAATTTAAACAAAATTATGAGGAAAAAATACAGTAAAAAATAATAAAGTGAAATGATAAATTTAATGCCTAAAAGCAACAAGATAGAAAGTATATCACGTTTAAATTTTATCCTAAAATTACAGTTAAAGTTATAATTACTCCCATTAGTCCATCTTAAGATCATGTAATATTAATAAATCGTTATTAATTTCTTTAAAAAAAAATAAAGTGAAGAATATTAAATGAAGGTACTAATTAAGGTAAAAATATTTTTTCCTTACTTTCATTTATTGATTATTTATTTTTTTATGAAGTAAACTAAGAATTATAGTTATTTTCTTTGTTTATAGACTATAAGAACAGCATCTGTTATGTGTATTTTAAATAAAGCCCGTATGGTTTTCAAGGATTACACTCGTTTCATGGTCAGTTTTTTTTCTCCTTTATGTTCTCTCATTCTCTTTTATATTATATATTAATCTTAAATTATTAATTTATTCACGTAACAAGTACGGTTTTTTTTTCTAGTAGAATTAATCCTGTTACATGCAATATTTGTCAGTGCTCGTGACTCACACACTGATGATAACTGACAAAAACTGTAAATTAATCATTATATATATATTTTTTATGTATAAAAGAAAAAAAAAATAAAGTAAAAGATGCTAAAATTAATTTATAAATTGTCTAACGAAATTTTAAGAGAGTTTTTTTTATAATTCATATTTTAAAATAATTCATCAACGAATCGTTTAACTTTCCTGCAAAATTTAAAATTTTTAATATTGTTATAATCAAAACGCTTATTTTTAAGGGTAGGGATGGGTTTTATAAAAAGTTATAAATGATAATAACGAATAAAATCGTCATTAAATCAGACCCTACTCCACACGACCCCTTTTATCTCCCTACCCAGTCGACACACGACCCCTTTTATTTCCCTAACCAGTAGACCTTTAACCACCAAAATTTAACAGTATTGACCTCTGTAATACACAAACCTCCCTGAAAAATTTCAAAAATTTTCGACAAAAAACAAAGAAGTTATTAAGCTTTAAAGGGGGGTAAACAAAATCGTTTCTTCCCACACACACTAACAACCGTACGTACAGAAAAAAAAACACAATTTTTTTTAATTTTTTGGAAGTTTCCCGAGTCGAAAAGTGTAAAAATAACTTGGGATGGGGGGTTTATTTTTTGACCGATCGCCACACTTTTCCTACGTAAAAATATGGCGGGGATTGCCACGCTTTACAACGGCGAGAGAGGAAAAACAATATGTAGTAAACAGAGCTTTTTAGATTACAGCATTCATTTTTAATAGGAAAGAAGTTGTGGCATTTCTTAGAAAAATAAAAAAAAATAATAAAAATAATAGCACTATTCCTTAGGATTGTATGGCATAAATCACTATCCCGTTGGGAAATTGGTCACAGTCGATAAGAGAGACACCAACTGATCCGCCAGCATCGGAACATTTTTTATTCAGATAAGGAATACTCATTAGTTGGGTGCTTGTGGCGATGGTGGTGAAGAAATTACCACGAACTGCTCAATATTCTCATCGTTGCAGGACAATGAGATAAGAGTTCATCTAAGATAGCATAGGTATTAAGAAAATGCTGTATAGTTTTTCTTCTATGAGGATTTACGACAAATCCTTATGCAAGGAGGGATGTCAAAGGTGAATGATCTGTTATCTCCTTCGTGCTTCAGGAAATAAGATGAAGTATTAATTCGTCTTAATAACACGATGATCCGAATAGAGAAAAAAAATTCGTTTAATTAACTTTAAACTACGTTTATATCGATGATAAATTAATTATTAATTTTTTAATTGATGATTATTGTAAAATTAAATTCCTCGATTATTTAAGTATCGATTTAACTGTATTATAACTTGCGGATAATTGTTATTAAATTCGCCGTGTTAAATTCGATTAATAAATGTTGTCTTTCGCGACCGAATGATTGATATTATTAATAAACAAATGGCATTTTCGTGTATAAATTTATGACTATTAAAATCGGAAATATGCATTCGAATAGGGGAAAAATTCCGGTGGGGACTGAACCCACGTCAAGTAATTTAATCGTTTAAGACATCCAGACGTTCTGCCTTATCTTCCTTTTTGTTTCAGCGTGTGTATTTATATAGCGATGTTTTCTCTTCTGTTAATTAACAATATTAGTCACTCAGTACGTTCACGTAATGAGTGACTAATCTTTTCAATTGTGTTATAAGTGTAGTTAAGATTCTCCTTCAACAATACGAACAAGGCGATTTAGGTGTTGAGTATTCAATGCGTTATTAAAAATGATATTTGATCAGATCTCATAAGAATCCAAATACAGTTTCTTTTCTTTTAGGAACTTTATTGTTTTATTTAATAAACGTGGAGGGTGTGATGTTTCTTTGTAAATTTATCTCAAATTTTACTCCAAAAAAAAAAAGATGTTATTCTGAAGTAGTTAAGGTCTACATGTATACGTATATTTAAATTTTTCCGTAATATTTAACTAATAAACGAATTAAATCAGTTTTACATCATTAAACTCGGTGGTAATAGTGATTCGAATCGATCAATCTGAATTAAACTAAACAAGTTTTATCTGAAAAGTCCACAAAATTTCCTACTTCCACAGCAGGATTGATCTCCAGCATGGAATTAATTTGTAAATGTACTTCCTTCATTTACTGTATTTATTCATTAATGAAGTTAAGTTTAGCATTTCAAACTTTTCTTTTCATTCTATTTAATATATGTTAAAGAGTTTCTAGATAATGTTCGCCTCTTATATACATATATATATATATATATATCTAATTCATCAAGTAAAATGAGGATTTTTAAATAATAAATTAATTGGAGAGACAAAGAGGGGGAGGGGATATTTTCAAATAAAACGAAGAATTAAATTCTCTTTATTAAATCCATTATCAATGTAATTAGTAATTATTATTTAAAAAAACTTATTATTATTTTTTAAATCGTGTTTACTGTTGAGTATATGATTGGAAATATGATAATTACCTTTATTATCTTATTAATCACAGGATATTGAAATAAAGTTTTCATATTTTACTTGATAGCTTTATCAAAATATTTAAATTTTTAATCGAATTAAACGTTAATATTATAATAAAATTCATTAGATAAGGCAATAATTACTTGAGATAAGTTCAAAAATTCTCTTCGATAAAAGGGAAATTTTTAAAATAAATTAAAAGTTATATATATATAATTTTTATCAGTTTTATGGAATAAAATAAACAGATTTACTTAACAAACGTGATTAAATTTATTGCTTTCCACTACTTGTTTAATGCTACGATTAACATTATTTATCCAGTATTGTTTGCTTAATATTACTTTCTACGAATAATTGTTAAAGATTAGTTGCACTGTTTTAATTAATTGAAACTTGTATCATAAAACAATAATTACTAAAATCTATTATTATTATTATTAATAAAGTAGCAACTAAAATATTTAATACGGTATCATCTACAACAGTATTTAGAGTCTATCACGAATGTAATTTTTAGTTATTTCCTGCGTGTTATATTTAATACTGTTTATTTAAAATTAGTGTATTTGCTAGTATACAAGACAAACTCCATTTTAAGACATATTTTTCCCGAAAAATTAGCAAAAAGACGTCTTAAAATGGGGTTTATCTTATACGCCGGTAAGTACTGTATATTAATTGATTTATAAAACTTTGTACGTAACAAATACAAGTTTTTATATCTTAAAATTGTTATTTAGTATACATAAAATCGCCTTTACGAATATAATATGAATATTAATTGTAATTTAATAGTCTTTTTTCAATAGTTTCAAGGCAAGGTAAATGTAAACGTGTACTATTAGAACCTCCCTGTCAGGCATACACATAGGCATATCCTACACGACTGGGCTACACCTTGTTAGGACCTCATCCCACTATTCATTACTAATATTTTCTTCTAGATACCTCTGAAGAAAAAGTGTTTATAACGGTCCTGCTCCCTGTAATAAAGTCTGATAGTTATAGATGCTATTAGAGTAGTAAATAAAGTGAAAATTATAAAAAATATATATAATTTTTCAATATCACCTAAACAGCACTTGTATCATACAGAAAAATAATATATTAATAATATAAACGAATCGTTGAAATTAACTAATTTATCTTACTCGAATTTCTATAAGAACATCTTTAAAACAAAAGAATAATAGATAAATTCTAGAAGGGCATTATTTTGTAATCCAAAATAATAATTCTTTCGACGAAAAGCCATTTTTGTTTAATGTCCACTGACTTATAACCTACATTAACTTACGAATTCAAGCCATATCATAAATAGAAAATAGCAAAAGTTAATAAAAATCACCATCTAAACATTAATACTAAATTCTAGTACATTATTTATGAAATAATATATTAAAAAAATAAATGCGCGAAAGGGAAAATAGATAGAAAAGAGAAAGAATCTTTTAAATAAATTGAAGAAAGTAAAGACAATTTATTCTTTGTTTTCTCTCCTTTCTGTTTCTCTAAGTACACACTAATGAAATCAGAATGCGGTAGGTCTTGTGTGGCACCGACTGTGTCATTAGCTCACCCTTAGTATAACGAGTTCTACGGCTTACACAACTAATAGGACGGTTTTCTTTTCTTTGCTTCTCTCTTTCTCTTGCTTTAAACTTTCCCTTTGAAGAAAATCGATACATGGAATAAACACATCTTTATTGTATGGTCGTTCTCCATAAAAATAATTTACAAAATTGATCATCGTTATATGGTAAAGACATCGTTCCTTTCCTTCTCCCTCCTTATTAAAAGAAAAAAACACTCTATAAATATGCTTTGTCTAGGAAACAAGTTTGTAAAGTTCAATGATACTCATTTCTGTATATTTTTCTCTTTAAATTAATAATTGTTTCTTTAGTTTCCTCATTAATTTTCGATAATATTTAACTGAATGAATCTAACTCATTGTCTTTCTTCATCGATAATATTAATGAAGAGCCAATTCAACTATACAAACATTTTTTTCCAGCTGTTTATAAGTTTATCAAGTGCTCGAGTGATGTTTCTTTTTTTAATCAAATTTAATAACGTAACTTCTTAGCTCTTGATGTAAGTATAAAGTAAAATAATACGTTTATAGTTCTGTCTAGAATTTAAAAATTATAAAAATGATATAGAACTCTGTTTAAATTGACGGGGTGGCCCAAAAGTTGGTTAACTATTGTTAAAGATAAATTGCTATTTTATTAAGCCGAATTTAAATTTTTGCAGAGTAACCCCCAAGAGATAATCTAANATCAGTTTTATGGAATAAAATAAACAGATTTACTTAACAAACGTGATTAAATTTATTGCTTTCCACTACTTGTTTAATGCTACGATTAACATTATTTATCCAGTATTG